TTATTAATAAAGCAGAAAAAAAAATTAATTTTCCGAAATTTTAAATATTAGAAATTACTTTTTATGCTTTCTTAGATGAAATCTCTACTGACATAAGTATATTACATATTTTATACGAGCAAAACTAGATTAAACACTTGTTTCTTTTTTATCTAGTTGCAGACAAGTATTTGGATTATTTAAATGTATTTTACTGACTTCAATATACTGTATGTTTTGTTGTTTATTTATATTCTCTACTCCATTGTTTGAATCCAAAGTTTTTACAATATTATGAGAATTAGGCATAAGTGATGTCATATCAGTCATAGAATTGACAAGTTTTTGTTTAGATTTATACTCATCAGTACATGCACTAGAGGCACATTCAACATTTATTGAAGGATTAACATATGTTATTGTTGACTGTACTAAATTATGTAAATTATCTTTAGTTACACTATTTATTTTAGAAAAAGATAATTCTGATTTATTAAATGCTCTTTGAGACAGGGAATTTTTATCACATAAATTTGAGCTTGTAATACTTTGTAAATCTGTAAATGATTTTAAATATTCACAATTTCTTGAACTGATAAGAGTTGTGATGTCATTTAATGAATTACAATAATTATGTTTTAGTGAATTTGTAGTATCTAGTGGAAGGCAGTACATACTATTAGAGTGAGTTAACCACTTCAAATTTGCATTACAGTGTCGTTTTTTTATCTCATGAAACTCATTCATAGTTTGGTAGCCTTTTTTCATAAATCTTGCTTCTATAATCGTTTCTACAGCATCATAAACTTCTGGTAAATTATGATCACTTTTTTCACTAATCATCTGGTTAGTAGATTCTATTTCAGAGCTATATTCTAAACTACATTGCTGTGAAACATTTTGTAGGTGTTTTTCTTCATCAGTTTTAATATCTATATCTGAGTCATATAAAGATGCATTTACTAATTCTTTTTTTTGACAATTGTTCCTTGAAGAATCTGATGTTGTGCTTATAGGTTCATTTACTCTACAATTATTGTTAATTTTTTTTACATTTCGAAAAAGACCTTCTTGGCCAATAACAAATCTTATTGAAACACTTTTTTCCTCTGATATACTACCACCACTATCTGAGAGCATATTAACGTTTTTAATATCGTTTACTGGATTTAATTCGACATGAATATTTGTGTTATTTACTTTTGCGCTACTACTTAAGATAGTTTGATCTATGTTACTTTCTAATTTTGTAGCAGATCGCGGTACAGAAATGCAGCTGCCAGCATCGCTCGTAATACCACCATCGCCTTGTCTTCTAGATCCGATGTTATTATTTTTTGTATGACGGCGTTGTTTTTTAAAGAATTTTCTAGCAACTCCGCTTTGATGAGGATTATAAAACATTTCAACACAAGTTGGTTCAATATATGTTGTAACAGAATTGTCAGATCTGTATTGTTGTCGATGTAATACAACCAAATTTACGTTTGTTATTTTTCTACCAACAGGTAAAATTTCTTGATTGGTCATAATATCTGCAAATTTAAGTGGATTACAAGTTTGTGATCTGTTTGTGTATCTGCATGAGCCAATAGAATTCGAATCAGATGTAACTTGAGTAGCCTGAGAATTAGACATTGGTGGTACCAAATTTTGTACTAAAGATTGCGTTGGGATTACAGGATTTGTATCAGAAATGCTTCTCGTTCTACAACATCGATTCTTTCGTTTTTGAAGCCAACAACGCATGTTTAGCCATTGCGACCTAACGTCATTTCGTGCAATTCCATAAAAGAAAAGAACAAAAACGCCAAGTGCACTTGAAAAAACAGAATATAAAGTAGCAAATATGGTTTCATCAAATGAAATATATATACCTAATGGTTTTATAGTAGCTGCTGCTGCAGCAATCCACGATATTAAATATAAAATTAACATAACAATTTGACCTTTCAATTGTGTTGTTTGAGAATGTTCTGAATCTTCAATATCAGATGAGATAGTTTGTGCACTACGTACACTATTTTTGTCTACAGATGGATTTGTACTTGGTTCCAGTAATTCTAAATCCATATTCTCTGTAGCTTGTGTACCTTCAGATAACTGAGCATTCATATCGACATTTTGAATTGCACATTTAATAAATAAATGAAAAATAATTAAGTATACGATTAGAATTCCAGCTGGAAGAAAGAGAGTAGCAAGAGCAGGACCAGATGTGAGAAAGCAGTATGAATATCCAGCATATTCTCGTAGATTTATTGCGCCAGAGATGCCACAAATTATCATAGCTATACCCCAACCAACTAAATAAAGTCCTAATAATGGTTTTGGTATTGATGGTTCCTGAAGTTCGTTGTTTGAAATATCTTCAAGATTTGATTTAGATAATTTTTTATACATATTACTGTAAACAAATTAACTTCTTTATATGCATTCTTTATACAATGTTTTTATACAATAAATAAAATTATTACCTTGCAAACACTGCCATCCATAGTAAAGAACATAGAGACAAGTAATGAAGAGTAAGGCCAACACCTTGACAAATTTGTACATTTTCTGTTTGATAAATACCAATACTATAAAAAAATGATAATAATGCCATGGTAAACCACGTATTAATAACACAATGTTTTGCTTTTTTTGGCATAGTAATTGAAGTATAACAAATTATGTATGTAACAGACATAATAATTAAACATGTTACTGTTGTAATACTCCCAATATATATTGCAGGATTTAAATATCTAAATTTTGCTCCAATTACGCTAAAAAAAAATATTAAATATTAAAATATAAATATTAACAGTTTACTAAATACATACCTGTTACCATCTTGATCAAAGGAAGTAGTATCTTGTAGAAGGCCATAATATCCTAATCTATTACAATGAAATACTATTAAGTTGTGTAGTACATTTCTTAAATGGCAACCATCACTTGTCCAGCCACCTGAATTATTTAACGTTTCATCCCATATTACAGGCAATAATTTTTTTCCAGCATAATGATATAAAGGAGCCTTTAACATAACGTATACTGGTTCAGATAAATTTTGTTGAGATATTCCAACTAAAATTAAGTTTTAAATTATATATTGTTCTCCTTTTTAATATGTATTTTTTTATATTTACTTATAAGTACATACACAACTTGCTCCCAATAACACATGACGCAATATCCATATTACCCTTATTGATTACTTTAGGGAACAATCTATTGTTGCTATATGCAGAAATCATTAATTGATGAACAACAACTTCTTGTGAATACTGTAATAAAGATGCAGGTAAGTGTATTGATGCTTCAATTATTTTATCTTTTACATTAATAGGAGATGTTCTGTTATTTGTTGTACATTGTAAAAATCGTATTTCTGGATCTTTAGTGGAATACCACGTACATATTAATCCTGTAAAACTATCATGTTTTACTCTGAATTCTTCTAATGCCATATTCTTCTTATACAATTGTATAGATGGAGTGAATTGTACAATTTTTTCTACTGCTTTTATCAAACGTGTACAAGATTTAAAAGAAATTTCAGCATTTTTTAAAATATTCTTTGGTATATTAATCACAGTACTAATAACATCAATTAACATGGCACCAAGTTCTTTCTCCTTAATTAAAAAATTCAAATAATTCTCTATTGTTCGAGTTATGAAATTGACTTCAACCGGATCGGTTATTTTTATAGTGTTTCCTGTATAATTTTTAAATTTTTTTGCAGTTTCTAACAAACTAATCTTCGTAAGTGAAAGATTAACTTTCGAAAACTGTTCTAAGCTTTCTGTTGTATGTGATATGTAAGGACACAACTCTGTGTTTAAATCTTCCCAATATCCTGTAATATTACATTGGTAAGAAGCTTTTAAAGGCATTTGCATTAAACTTGATAGATGGTTGCCTTCACATGGTAATTCTGCTCTCCATCCTATTACAGTTCTTGGCCATGTATAAATACCTTTATTAGTTTTAGTCACTGTAACATAATTATTTATTAGATGATCACATTCAAATTTCGCATATATAATTTATCTTACCTGCCAAAGGACAATAACGAGTTTGATCAGAAATAACAATTACACTGATTGTTTTTGATCTATTGCCATTTACAGAAACTAATAAACAGTTCCATTGTCCATTATGCTCTTCCTTGACTGGAACAATACTAAGTGAACTACAAAAATTGTAATATTATTACATATAAAATGCGTAAATTAATTCAAGTTCTATTAAATGTTAAAGTACCTGTCCACAATACCACTATCTGCAAGATATCTATTATCAATTTTAATATTATTCAAACTTTCTTGTGGATCTCTAAATGCATTTAAATCTACAATTTCAGATGTAGTATTAGGGTACCACAACCAACTCAATCTTGCATTTCTATCTTCTGTAATACTAGGTGCTCTACATTTTAAAGTTATAGAATCACCAGCAAAAACTACTTGATTGTGAACTGGTCGAAGTTCAATTGTAGGAGGTAACCGCTGACATTGAATATTTTCTGAATATTTTAACTTTTTTACAAATACACCTTTAGTATTTAGGGGTGATGCACATTTTGGTGCAGGACTGTAATATTGAAAAAACTCTATTACAATCTGTAATATGAAATTTGGTTTTTTATATTTAATTAATATATTACTTTAATTTAATGGAGCTATTATGAATCCAACTGCTAAACCAATAAAGTTCACAATCACATCTCCATGGATTATTGGATAGATCTCTAAAAAAAAAATCACAATTTAAATAATTTTATTTCACATATATTCATATTATATTATTTACTTTACTTACAATTGTTTTAAAGATTTTAAGCCATAAAAGATACCTTCTTTTAAAGTTGTTAACCTGTTTTCATTTAATTTCCTAGAATGTTTATATAAAACAGTGCTTCTTTAAGTATTCATTAATATAATTATGTTCATATAAATATACTTACAATCAGTAAAATATATGCAAAACAAGTAAATTATAGTAAAAGTAATTGAAAAAAATTACAAACTCACTTACAAGCGTTCTAAAGCCATTAAATCTTGAAATAATGATGGTTTCAGTATACTTATGTTATTGCCTGACAAATCACTAATAATCAAACAAGTAATATATAAGATAAAAGAAAACATACAAAAATATATTTACATTAATATACTTTACATAGTTCTTAAACTTACAGTGCTTTTAAATTTGACAATTTTCTAAATGTATAAGCATCTATACTTGAGATTTTATTCTTACTTAAATCCCTAAATAACAAATATATGCATAAAATTAATATGTTCAATAATAAGTAATATAGTAAATAATATTAATATTCTTACAA